TAGCTATGCACCATAGGACAGCATGTATGGTATACACATCTCTCAGCTGTTCTCCATGCTTACAGTACTTTCTCACCTCATCTCTTCCTCACAGAATTCCTTGTCTTCTTCAAAGCTCTTTTCAAGCATGCCCACCTACATGAGGTTTTTACTGTTCCATAACCCTCACCTGCTAACATGTCCCCCATCCCAATTACCTTGTATTTATTTTCTACAAACTGATAACATGTGGATGTTGTCTCCCTTCAATAGATATATTATTTGATGGCAGGAACAGTTCCATTTTTTTTTTGTCTTTTCAACCCCAGAGCTTGGCACAATGCCTGGCACATAGAAGGTGTTTAATAAATGCTTGTTAATTGGTCAATATAAACAAATGATGATCAGTAGCATCATCTTTGAAAATAAAGGACATTGAAATATCCGTTATTCCTCAAAACCTTACAGATACAGAAAGTTAGATAGTAAAGTAATATTGATTTTTCAAAAAAGACACATATCTTAGAATTTGCATATCCAAATGAATGATGTCTTCTTTGAAGCAGTCATCTAAGGAAGTGATAAACTTATACTGACAATGCTATGACTCAAGATATTTTTTCCAATTCTTCTTTTAGAATTGCCTTCATAGTCTGTGGCACATCTTTTCAGATAGCCTTGACAGTAGCAAAGTTTTTGAGGATGGATTTGACTTTCAGAAATAGTACAAAGTCATTTGGAATCAAATCTGTTGAATCAGATGATTGAGAAATCTGAGTAATACTGTTTGGGGTCAACTCATATAGTCTATTGTTATTAAATCTATTAGTGGTCAGCTAGGTGGCACAGTGGGTAAAGCACTGGACTTGGAATTAGGGAGACTCATCTTCATGAGTTCAAATCTGGCCTAGACACTTACCAGCTGTGTGATCCTGGTACTTTGCTTGCCTCCCTTTCCTCATCTGTAAAATGAACTGGAGAAGAAAATCGCAAACCACTCCAGTATCCCTATCAAGAAAACCACAAATGGGATCATGAAGAGTTGGGCACAACTGAAAAATGACTGAACAACAACAACAAATTAGTAACCAAGAGTAAATGAAAATATATTTGAATTTTCACCAACATGTTTAAATTTAATACAACTCACAGCAGAGAGGCAGGCTTAGCCAACTAAACTTAGTAAAGTTTAGTTTACTGGTACTTGAAATTAACTTTAGCTAACAAAGTATTAATTTTCACAAGAGAAGCTTAAACTAAACCCTGATCTGTGAATTTGCTGGTTATTCTTCCCTGCTATTCCCTATTGTTATTTGGCCATTTTTGAAAAGAACTCAGAGTACATTAACAGTTTTATCTCATCTTATCTTCACAATAATTCAAAAAGTTCCAAGAGCAGTACTAGCACCTAATTGCATATATAGAAAAGCTGAAAAACAAAGATGTAAAGTTATTTTCCCAAGGTCACCCAGCAAGTCAGACACAGAGCAGAGTCTACTCATAAATACCTGTTTTTCTATGTCTATAAAAAGTAAGTGGACTAGGAGTAATGTCTCAATTCTCTAGATACTCTTGAATCAAGGTGACCAGACAACTTTGATTACTGTTAGCTCTGAAGAACTTTTAGAAACACCTTTCCTGTTGGTTAGAGCAATATTAACTAACTCAAGGATAATTGAGACTAGGCCCAATGCGGTGACATGAAAGGGTACTATTTTCCTTTCCCTATGAAGCACCTGCAGGGTAGGCTGCCAGACTCCCTCAATCACCTTACTGGTACCCCTCCCCCCACTCCCTACCCAACCCCACCCATCAGGATCCTGTAACCTTCACACTCTACTGGTGGGGCTGCTTTCTGGAGTCAGAGTGTGTCACTTGGCTTGGACACTTGGAATCAGTATGGCAGGGGGAAGGGGAATTAACAGGCGTAAAGCCTTCAACAATCCCTGACACCCCACCCCCAAACATACACACTCATTTGTTAAATGTGGCATAGTAATATTTGCGTTGCATTATTGCTCTTTGGGAAGTAGATGCTTTTATAGTATAAGCTTAAAGTGGTCTGCCCTTAGCTACCCAATGTTCCACTCTAGTTCTTGGGGAGAAGATGGGTAGAAAAGAGATACATACAATATATGGGTTACTAGAAAGGGAATACTCAGTCTCATCAATGAAAGTCAATGTTCTCATAGGTTACAGATGGATCTTGTAGGTTTTAGATCATTTTGTCATATGTCTATGTATATATATATATATGTGTATATATATGTATATATGCATATATATACACATACATATAAATTTGAGAAATGGGGAAACTGAGACACAGAGTGGTGACTTGACTTATCCAATATTATACTGCTAGCTTGGGCTAGTAACTGGACTAAGGCTTGGGACAAGTAGATTCTAATCTTAGCTCTGTCACTGTCAATGATCCTAGCCCCAAACAAATGTCCTTGTGAAGCAACTATTGAAGGCTGCCTTGTCTTTGGTTGTTTTTATGTCTGAATTGTAAGCAGGAGCAGGGCCTTGAACACAGTAGACATGCATTAAATATTTGTTTGCTGAATGAAAGTGGATGAGTGATCAAGTATTGTGTAGGCAGATGGTTATTTCTTACAGGGTTTGAAAAGAGTCTGCAATAAAGAAATTCGTCTCTTAGGAGGAAAGAAATTGAAGTTGGCAAGAGAAGTATCTACTGCTAATTGCTCATTGTGATAGAGTGTCTAATGGAATGGACCATTGCTGTGCAAAGGTGACCCTGAGTTTTCAAAGCCTTTGCTGGCAGAGTGCAAGGTCTACCAAGTCCCACCAAGCTGGATGGGCTTCGAACATGGACCCAGTAATAATGAGAGGGACTGTCTGATTAAACTTTCTAAAATCCCTGGGGTATGTAGGACCTATATAATTCATTAAGCCTCAAAGCAGGACTTAATTTAAACTATCCCATTCAGAAAGGTATGTCTTTTAGCTTTATCAGCCTCCAGGGAAGGAGAATCTCCAGTCTCATTGCCATTGCTACATAATCAACTACAATCCAAGGCAGTATGTGATTCCATTGAAAGAGTGGTGGATAGGGAGGAGGGAAATTTCTATGTCTAAGTTAGAAAAGGAAACTGTAGAAGTGAGGGTATAAGAAATGGGTAGGACTGAGGAAATAAGGAAAGAGGAGAAGGGAGGTATAGAAGGGAAAGAAGAGAAAAGGAGAAGGGGAGGGAAGAGGAAAGAGAAGAAGAGTGTAGGAGGGAGGAAGGAAGGCAAGAAGGGGATGGGGGAAAGTTGCTGAATCATAATAAAGTTCACTCCATCCTGACCAGATCCTTGTTGCTATAATCCCTGGACTTTCAGGCCACTATACTTCCTTTTCAATATTTTAAGTTCATAGTTGTATTCTATACTCCCACCCTCTAAGCACCCTGGTCTCCCATGTCCTCATCTGCCTCAACTCCCTCCTCCCTTCTTAATCTCCCTCCAATGTAGCCCAACCAGGAATGGTCATACCTTAGATCTAAACTTCTGAATTTTCGCCAAGTGCCAAAGTTCCTATTTACGGTCTGACATTAGTATTCCTTAGTACTTTTAATATTTCAAAATCATTTCCATTTGTTCATTCATTTGTGTTCATACAGCTCTCAGTGATGATAAATCCTTGCCAAATTATTGGGGTGTGGTAAAGAAGATGAAAATAAATGTTGTTTTAAAATACTCATGAATTCTCATTTGTAATAATGGAAGAAATACCCTCAATAACTAAGTAGCCTCACTAAAGACAAAGAAAAATAATCCATTTTCCATTTGTCCTTGGATATGTCTGTTAGCCTACTTTAGCCATTAAGAGGAGTTGAGGTGGGGCAGGGGGAAAGGGGAGAGGAGGGAACAAATATTTAGGACTCTACAGAAAGTCCATCCAACTAGAAATTTAGAACCTTCATGTCACCTAGTACAACCCTATCATTTTGCAAATGAAAAGACAAGTAGTTTGCCTGAGGCCACACAGATCCTAAGTGGGGCATAACTTTTCTTTATAATCGCTAATGTTTACATAGTCCTTTAAGTTTTGAAAAGTGCTTTACAATAGTATCCTATTTTATCCTCACAACAACCCTGGAAGGCAGGTGGGTGTTAATATTCCCATTTTACAGATGAGGAAACAGCAGCAGAGATTAACTTGTCCAGGATCACATAGCCAGTGTGTCTGAGGCTGGAGTAGAACTCAGGTCTTTCAATCTCCAAGTCCAGTGCTCTACTTACTATACCATCCTTCTATCTCTCAGCTCCATTACTCTTTCTACTAAACTTTCTTCTTAGTTGGTGATAAGCAGTCAAAGAGTAAAGATAAGAAGGGTCGAACCTAACAGCAGCTTGTTAGCCTGGACCACAAGGCTGTGTTTCTGCATTATGCTGATGGACCAGGCGGCTGTTCATTGAGGGATGAACTGGCCGAAAGGTCTAGCTGATAGAATTTGCTTTAGAACCTATTAGATGTGGCCATGCAAATGGGTACCAATGCGGCCAGAACATGGATACCTCGATAAATTCAGAATGGTTTTAAAGACTGAAACCTGGGGACTCAGATCAGGAAGGGTATTTTCCTTTTGACAATTGGGTTAGCAACGGGGCAGATAGGTTTTTCTAGACCATGGTCATTGGGTCATAGCTTTCCTATTTACCTCTCTATCCTCTGGAAGAGACATTAAGGAGAAGTGAGTTATCCCAAAAGGCAATCAAAGGATCTCGTTAATTAGAACACTGGATAATCAGATAAATTATTGAGACTTGACTTCCTCTCATAGTGAATTGATTTTTTTCTACATTTTAAATTACATGTAATAATGTAAAATAGCAAAATGAGCTGTTTTCTTGGAAAGTAATATGTTGGAGGTATTGAGAAAATAATATTTTAGATGATAGTTTTATAGTAAAGAGGTATCCTCCTAGATGCTTAGAGTGTAAGGCATAGATAAATCATAGGGACAGTAAGAATCCCCATAAGTCTGCCATGCTCTAATAGTTACCTCTGATTAAGACTGATTGCAATTCTGGTAGTGCAGAATCAAACCTCTAAATGCAAGATAGATGTACTTATTTTGAGTGCAGATGAATCCTCCTCCTCTCCGAGTCTGGAATGGGCTGCGGTTCAGGTCTCCAATGCATGTCCAGTGTTTCTCGTAGTATCTTTGGGAAATACACCATTTGGCATGATCATAGTGGGAGCTAAAAGTAGACTGTCCTGGGATTCTAATTTCTTTGATGTTATAGACATGGTATGAAAGAGAACAGTTTGATGGAAGCTTAGGTTGCCAAGTTTCTACAAGCAAATTAGTCTGCAACTGTTGAGCCATCCAAGCCACATAGATATCTATGAGTTAGAAGAAGAAAGACAAATGAAATTGATATTTCCAACCTTAGATAATAGCCTAAGGAATAATTTCATAGACTGAAAATAAAGAATGGGATACATTTCTCCAACACTCCTCCCTGGGATGCAGTTCACATAATGTAGTTGAAAACATGTTCAGCATCATAGCAAAAAAAAATGAAGAGGAAGGTACAGAGCCTGCTCCAAAGAGATCTTTGGAAGTAATCATAGTTAGCATTTATGCAGCACTCTAAAGTTTGTCAAGTGCCTTACAAATGTTATCTCATTTTATCCTCATAATAACTCAGGGAAGTAGGTGCTATTATTATCCTTGCTTTACAGACGAGGGAACTAAGGCAGAGGTTGTGACCCGCCCAGGGTCCCACAGCTAGTAAGTGTCTGAGGCTGGATTTGAACTCATGTCTTCCTCACTCCAGTGGTAGCATTCTTTGCACTTTGGCACCTAACTACCTCTGTACCACCTTGAGAGTAGTCATTAGGCAATAGACTGCTTGCTGGGGAAGAGGTAAAACAAGTTTGCTTATTCCTTTCTCATCTCTGCCTTTTAAAATCATGAGCTCCCTTCAATTCTGGGCTCAGATGCTATTTCCTGTCTGTTAGTCAACTAGCATTTATTAAGCACCTACTATGTGCCAGGCACAAGGTCTTTCCTCATTCCTTAAATTGCTTGTATTCTACCTCCTCGTTGAAATTACGTTGTATTTCTCTTGACATCTCTAGTGTTTAGTAACATGCTTTGCACATAGAAGAAACTTCATAAATGCTAACTGAATTATGCCAGCATAGTGATGGATCAATAGGTCAAGATGAAACAGAAATATTTTGCCCCGGATGAAAATCTTCCAGTGAGGAGATTCAATTCAGATCCTCCAAAGTACAACTCTTTGATCTCCCTTGGCATCTCCTCTTCCCTCTCTTCTCCCTACCCAGCGATTTCCTCAGCTTAAGCAGCTTAGTAGAAAAATGTCTCTGACCCAACCCAAATGAGTCGAGCCCATCAAAGCTAGTGTGTATCCTTCCATGATCATTTTCCTTACCATCAATCAAGTAAGGTGATTTTGCAAAGTGGAGGAAGTTTTGGCCTCGGATGGACTCAAGTCTGGAGAGGCGCCGGCGAGGAATCCTGAGGAGTGGGGAGCCGGCGCACATTTTGGGCAGATAGGTGAGCTCAGGGTGAAAGATGGCAGGGATGGAGCAGCTATAGACATTTGGAGTGCAGCTTAATAGCTGGGAATCTGGGGATGGTAATAGGAAAAAAAAAAACCAGAATTAAGAGGCATAAATCTTGTCATGAATTTTAAAAGGCCAGCTTATTTGGCTTTCAGTTCTTTTCTCTACCCTCCACTTCTCAGTAGCCATCAGATGGAACTTCTTATTTAATCCAATTAAAGAATTGATTAGTTTTGCTGTAACTAATTGAGCCTAAATGACACAGAAGTAAGATTGATTGGAAGCCATTGTCAGTGAGGGAAATTTAAGAATAGAAGATTTAGATCTAGGAGGGAACTCTTCTTGTCTGACTCTTTGTGACCCCATTTGGGGTTTTCTTGGCAAAGATACTAGAATGGTTTGCATTTCCTTCCCCAGCTCATTTGACAGTGAGGAAACTGAGGCAAATAGAGTTAAAAGGCTTGCCCAGGGTAACAGAGCTAGTAAGTGTATGAGGCAGCATTTGAACTCAGGTCTCCCTGACTCCAAGCTGGGCACTCTATCCAGCTGCCAGGAGGGAACTTAGAGATCAATTATTTTTACTTTCTCCTTTTACAGTTATGGAAACTGAGGTCCACAAAGGTTAATGGATTTGTCCAAAAGGCAAAGCTGAAATTTAAATCCAGCTTTTCTCCAAATCCAGTGCTCTTTCCCATTTGTAGGCAAGAATGTGAGACTTGGAATCAGAAAGACCTGGTTTTACATCCTGCCTCAGACACTTCTGTCTGAAGGACCACGGATAACTCACAAGAGTTTCCTTATCTGTAAAACGACCAGGATACTGACCTCAAATGAGATAACAGAGGTAAAGTACTTTGTAACCATTAAAATGAAATATAAATGCTAGTTGTTATTATTGTAGGGGAGGTATTCTAATCCTGTTTATACATCTAACCACTGAAGATAAGTCTCTTCTCACTTTCTGTTTCTGTTATGTTAATTAACAGGAGGAGACAGGGGAATAACCAGATTTCAACATGATTTTGCTATATTACTGCAGAAACTAAGCCAGAATCACTGTAGCGTTAGCTACAGACATTTACAAATTCAAAAAACTCCAAGGGAGTAAAATCCTGACACTCTGGGTCCATAGAATCAGAGCTGCAAGGGTTTTTAGAATTCCTCTCCTTTTATAGGTGAGAGAACAGAAGCCAAACAGGTAAAATTGTCTGTCCAGGGTTACATGGTGCAGTGGTTGGAACAGCTGGGTTCTGAGTCCAGTGCCTTTGACTCTAAATTCAACAATCTATCTGTGGCACCCTGCCGCATCTCCCATGCTACACACTGCATTGCTCTGCAGAGCTCCCTACTGGAGTGGGGTGGGGGGTGGGAGAGGGAGAGAGAGACAGACAGACAGAGACAGACAGAGACAGAAGGAGAGGGAGGAGAGAGACAGAGAGATAGAGAGAGACAGAGGGAGAGGGAGAGAGAGGAAAGAGAGGGAGGAGAGACAGAGACAGAGACAAAGAGAAACAAGAGACAGAGGAGAGAGAGAAAGAGAGACAGAGAGAAGAGAGGAGAGACAGAGACAGAGAGACACAGAAAGGAGAGAGACACACAGAGACAGAGAAAGGAAAAGAGGTAGATGCAAAGATAGAGGAAGGGATAAGGAAGTAACAGGGAAGGAGAAAGAGGAAGAGACAGGCAGAAAGAGAGAGAGATGATAGAGACAGCAAGATGTTGGAAATAGATGATAGAGACAGCAAGATGTTGGAAATA